GGTGTAGTAAATGCTTAGTAACTTAAAATTTCATTTACCTGAAAATTCTTCCCTGTTGGAATTTCTGAAGGACCCCACAAGTACTCTCCCCCTACATGAAATGTCAGGCTGAATTTGTATATTGCGGGTCAACAGTCCAACTTCAGCAGCCAAACGAATTTGCCTGCCGTCATCCATGACGTGGGCACTTCCTGGGACAACAGGAATTGGGATGGAAAAAAAAAAAAGAAAGAAAGAAAACCTTTAAGGATCTATTTCAGAAATCACCAGCTGGGGACTCAGTAAAATGACAAATGAAAACACTCCTTCCCCCTTGCAAGTCCTACCGACATGAAGGTCTACTTTTCCTCAGGCATTCTCCACAAATGTCAGCTGAGAAATGAAAAACCTTTTCACTTGTCTCTCTTTGGGATGAGAATGAGAGTGTTTGAGCAAGAATTCAATAACTGTGGGTACCCAGACAGACCACTGGTGCACGGTAGTCAAGGCAGGCCTGTCCAATTAGTGGGGTCCCCAACCTTCTTTAAATGTGTCAGTGTGAGACTTTGGTGTTTGGTTATACATTGTCAATGGACCTCTTTCATGAGAGTGGAAATCCCAGATCACCTGAAGAAATGACGTGGCCAAAGCAAGCAACATATAAGAGCCAAAGAGAGAGAAGTAAAGCCACATGGCGGCAGCAGCAACCTCCTCTCTGCTTACGGCTCTCTGAGCAGCTTCCTCAGTAGTGGGACCTGAAGCTCCTTTGTTTCACTGCCCGCCATTTGCATTCTACTTTGGATCTCACAGGCAAGGCTTGCTGAAAATTTCTCTTTTCTCTGCCACTTTTTAGAAAAAAAATCATCCTTGGCACTGTGATGTAGACACAGTTTTAGACAGTTCTGATGAAAGCATGTACTTCTCTATCACGTGCAGAGATATCAATACATTTTTAAACTCCTTTATTTCCATGGTTTGCCACTGATGAGCTATCTCTCCCGGGTTAGATTTATTTATTAGAGTGAACTAAGAAGATGATTGCTATTACTATTTGTACCTGTACATTTTAACTGGTATAAGTGCAAATGAATATTCAATACCTTTTTTAAAAAAAATGGTATTGGCTTTTTTCTTCATTAATAGTAATAAATATATTTCAACACATAAAATGTACTTCATGTCAGGAAGGACACTTTTCCAAGCATGGAAAATGAAGTCATTTTTTACAATAACTACTATGTTCTAAGGGATTGTATAATTCACTGTGCCAAGAAATGAACTGGAAACTCAGTGCCCATGAGTTTTATACTGGCTTAGCCACAAAACTGCCAGTAACTTTGAATAAGATCCTTGATCTTTCCATTCTTAGACTTGCTGTTATAAATAAAAGGCCAAGAAAAAAAATGATATCTAAGTATTCTTTTAAAATTAGGCAATACAATTAATGAAAGAATAAGGGTTAGTCATCTAGAATGAGTCTAGAGCAGTGAAAAGGTATTATCTTTCTCCTTTGAATGGCAATCCCATTCAAAGTCCCTAAGGTAGGTTGCTGAACAGGTCCCTCCTGGCTCATTCACATCCTTTAACCCACTAATCAAAGTCTTACCAATGTGCCGGTGTTTGAGCCGCTCGTAAATCCTAATGTGGTGGCCCTGGGCTTCCTTCACAGTGAGGATCTCTGCTTCGTGAGGCTCGTAAGAAGAAGAGCTGAGAACAATTTTGTCATGGGGTCTCCAGTCCACTGCATCCTCCACAATAATTCTGTAATAGCATTAAAAAAAAAGATATCAAATATACAGAGAGTGCAACACAGAGAACCTACTAAGTCTAGAGAAAGAAATCGCTGGGGAGACTACAGGAGAAATAGCAGCAGACGACCATGGAAAGGGGCTTTTGTGAAAGGCGTGCTGCTCGTAGAGTCAGTTTCCTGGCTCACAAATGTATGTGTTACAGGGAAAGCAAAGCTATTCTACGGCCACAAAACATAAAGCAAAGGAACAAGAAATCAGAAAAGTTCTAGAATTTAGTATATGCACGGGTACATGGTTTTCTATTGTAGCAGCCTTCCTTCTGGATTGGGCAACAATTTGAATAATAAAGGCATTTCAGAAGAGATATTTTATTTTCTGAAGATGATCATGCTAGTTTTAGAAAGTTTATTATCACACATTAAGGTTCCTACCTTCATTGTAGGAGACAGAGACCAATGTGAATCCTGAAAGTATCACTTACGAGTTGTGTGACCTTCATGAGTCACTTAACTCCTCTCACTTCGTATCCTCCTCTGAAACACACAATATTTATACCTTCTCTCCAACCTCCCATCTTATTGTGGGGACTAACGAGTATGTATTCACCAGTGTGCTAAGTTCCAGCCATTGTGCTTTCATTGCATTATGAAACAACGAGGGATTTGTTCATTTTAGAGTATTTTTAAACTCACATCGAACAAGATTTCTGTTCAGTTTTTCACTGCTGCCTAGCTTTTCCTAGTGAATATGACTGCTTTCTTCTCTATTCATAGTCATTACCAACTTCAATAGCATATGTCATTTATTTTAATAAACTGCCTCTTTAACGCCAAAATTTTAGCAAGCTTTGACAATTCGTAGACACTACCACTAAATGTTCATCTGAGCAATAATGAGTTCATGAGCAGGGGAATCATGCAACATATACCGACTGAGAAAATGATATGCACAAGACACTATACGATGTGCTAGGGATATAGGGTAAATAAAACATATGCCATTTGTATTTAAAAAAGAAAAACTTAAATTCTGCCTAAAAGACATTCTTGAGAGTCTACTGTATGGGTGGAGGATTAACAAAGGTTTGGTATAAAACATTAACTCCCACAAAATAAGTAAAAAAAATTAATGTTGGTCATTTGTGGGCCAATGGTGAGTCTATTACGAACCAGAGATTGTAATCAATTCAAACCTGTACACATAAGGTTGAAGAAAAAAGTAGAATTATATAGAGAAAAAAGGCTGCTATCAATTAATGTGACTTTCATGAATGAATTTAGTCTTTGTGCTGATCCTGATGTACTAGGACTTCCTAGAAAACACAGCTACAAAATATTAATGCAACTGCTAGCTTTTAAAGACACAGAAACTAAGAGCCAAGAAGATTAACTAGCAAAACTCAAGACTAGATAAACAAATGGAATCACAGGTTGAATTAGGACAAAGGAAGGCAGCTTCTCAAGCCCAGGGTTCTATCCACTAGATAACCTCACCTTGTCTGTCTGAGTTTTAGTTCTTACTTAATAAATGATAATAGAAAAGTAGTATTCCTGTATTTCATAATTATGAGGTTATAAAAAGTCCATGTACCATACAAAGGAATACTATACAGCCATTTTAAGAGTACATTGTAGCAGAGCATTGAATTATAAGGAATTGGATTCATAATGTATTGATTTTTTTTTAAAAAGGGACATAAAATAATATGCCCCCTTTTTGGTCTTTTTTTTTATTAAGTCAAATACACATAGATCATGAATACATTCATGCATATGTGGGGTACAATGTGCTGATTTTTTTTAATACAATCTGACGTGGTTAGATCAAACCAATCAACATAGCTTTCACTTCATTTACTTGATTACTGTGCCAAAACATCTATGTTCTATACTTGACAGATTTGACTTGTACCCTTGCCATATGCTCCATAGATGTGGTCCTGCCTTTTACTCTCCCTCAGTCAAACCTCCTCCATCCCCTCCTTTTCCACTCCATTTCTCTCCTTCATCCTGGGCTATAGTTGGGTTCTATCTTTCATAAGAAAGTGTGAGTAAATATAAGTTGGTTTCATAGAAGTACTGAGTACATTGGATACTTTTTCCTCTATTCTTGAGATATTTTACTCAGGAGAATATGTTCCAGATCCCTCTATGTAAACATAAAAGAGATAAAGTCTTCATCTTTTTTAAAGCTGCATAATATTCCATTGTATATAGATACCACAATTTATTAATCTATTCATGGGTCAATGGGCACTTGGGCTTTCTCCTATGACTTCGCTTTTATGACTTGAGCTTCAGTGAATAATCTGGTGCAAATATCTTTTTTTTCAAAGTGATTTTTGGTCTTTTGGATATACTCCTAGTAGAAGAATTGCAAGATCCAATGAATATGCCCCTTTTTCAATAAATATATGCACAAAACATAGAACACAGGAAAGAGGCATGTTAAAATGTTAGCCTATCCGTGGGTGGGGGATTTGTTAGTGATGCTCCCTTCAATCTAACTTTTTTAACTTATGGTAGGAAAAAAAACTCATTTAAACAGAAAGTAAGACTATGGGTATAAAATCACAACAAAGTCAATTAATAGTATACATGATATCAGTCCTTCACTTCATAATCTGTATTACCTAGATAATCTTTATTATTATTATTATTTATATTATTGAATAAATCTCATAGAACATGACAATGCTCTGAAAAGTTCCTTCTGCAAAGAGATTTAAGCTCATCCTGAATGGAACATGGGATTTTTAGGACAGTGAGACTATGATGTCTGATAATATAAAGGTGGATACATGTCCTTAATATATTTGTCAAAACCTATAAAACTGTATAACACAAAAAATGAAGCCTAATGTAAATTTTAAAAACCTTATTCCCTAAATTTCTAATATAAACTCTCTTCCCCCCAGCCAGATAAATCTAATCACTCTCCCCTGAATCACTGTTCAGTCCACTCATCCTTAAAAGCTGACAGGAGGCTCGGCGCCTGTGGCTCAAGCGGCTAAGGCACCAGCCACATACACCTAAGGTGGCGGGTTCGAATCCCCAGCCCGGGCCCGCCAAACACCAATGATGGTTGCAACCAAAAAATGGCCAGGTGCTGTGGCAGGCACCTGTGGTCCCAGCTACTTGAGAGGCTGAGGCAGGAGACTCACTTGAGCCCAGGAGTTGGAGGTTGCTGTGAGCGTGATGCCATGGCACTCTACCCAGGGGGATAGCTTGAGGCTCCGTCCCAAAAAAAAAAAAAAAAAAAAAGCTGACAGGAGTTACTACTCTGCCATCAAGAAGTCCATGGGACCCTCTTCTCCATGGAACTCCCAGCCTCTCCCTCTTCTCCATGGAACTCCCCGAACACCATATATTTAACATAACAAATACTATTGCTATGTGGATGATTTTGAACTCTTACCTTTTCAGCTATTCAACTGTGTTATCATGAGTAGTAAATATTTAATAAAAACATGAAAATTTAGCTGTCTAAGTTCCTTAGCATCTAGCAATGTTCTAAACAAAGTATAGAAGGAATTATTAAAATTATTAGTTCAAACTTTATACTGAAAACATGAATTAATTTAATTTGACTTCTTCTATTACGGCTTTCAAAACTTTACAGGTTTGTGAAAACTTATATTTCATCCATGCTCCTGATGTTTGGGGATTCTCTATGTCATGAGAACAGCTTACAGATGTCAAACGAACACGGTGCCTTTCACTTCTCTGTCCACATAGCAACACTGGTAACGTCTAAGAAAATTAGGGTGCCCGTATCAACAGCCTAATTGGTTCTGCTAGTCAAATGTCAATTTTTCTTAAATTTCAATATTCACTACTCCTAGTCCTAATCTGCAACTTTGGCTTCATTTCAGGAAACCCTAGCTTAGCGACTGTGAAATCAGTATCCCAGCTGTATTTCAGGCCTCTGATTAATACTAATGAGACTGGCATAGGTACAAGAAAGAGGAGAGACTGCTTGTTGTTCTGAGCAAAACACACCTTAAACAATAAACAAATAAAAAATTAAAAAGAATTGTTTGAAACTTAATTGGACCTAAATGGAAAACATGTGAGAAGACAGGAAATTATAAATTATCACTGTGGAAGTCTCTCTTTAAAGATAACTTTTCAAAAATATAAACAAAATAGAAGCACAGCTTCCTTTGTTTTGGCATGAATATTTGCCCTTATACAGGAAAAATATTATACTGATTAGTAAAAAAAAACTTACTAATTACAAATAATACAAGAAATATGCTTCCAATTTTGATTTAAAAGTTTTTACAGCTATGTATAAAACATCCGCATTTAGACACCTACAACTTAAATTAATTAAACTTTGGGGACATCCTAATGATAATAAGATGTCCACAGGCTCAGAGTATACAGATCCCAAAGTGTTTTTCCCCAACAACAGCAATGGCTACAGACTGCCACACTCTACTGAGTCCATTTTACTTGGTAACTTCAGTTTAAATGTAATAAGGATCCTAAAACCGTATTAGACTATGCTAGGTTCTGAAGAAATCAAATCCTATAATGATGTTAATAACGACAACAATAATGGCTATGGTAGATACCAATTATTTGTCTACCTGACTTTCCTTCTTCCTCCCTTATTCCAGGAAACCTATCACACCCCTTCTGACAATTGTTCTCTCCATCCATCATACTAAGCAGTTGTAGTGAGAACTACACACTAAAATTCCAGAAACCCGTCACCGTAGGTGGGTGTGGGATCCAACCTGTGTCTTCATCAAAATCCTTCCCCTGGAATTTTTAGTGAAACTAGGAGTTGACAGTAATGTCTTCTCTGCTGGTAAAGCTAGGAAAAGCCAGACAGCTGTGAATTCATTTAACATACTACAGAATACAGAAAAGTAATCTTTGATAGAAGAAAAAGAGTTGGAAATAGAGAAATATGAGAGTAAGGGTGTAGGAGGGAGGGCCTGATGCAAATAGATTAAGAAGGGTTACTTTTACTTTCAACCAAAAGAATCCTAATTAC